ATTGTATTTAACAAACGTATCTTATTATCTTTTTTTAATTAAAAAAAAAAAAAATAAGTTATCTTTAAAATTTCCAAGTCTTTCGCATTGTTTTTTCTTTTCTTTTTTTTTTTTTTCTTCATAATGATCCGAGATACTATTATTAAATTGATCGATCGAAATGGATATTCACGATATGCATCCTTCGTTGTTTATATAACTCGAATGTCCATGCCGACGTAATCCAACACCCGTTTGCACACGTACGCGAGAAGTTGAGATTGATTACCTCGAGTTCGCGATGTTGCAATGTCATCACTTTTGAAATAAGTTAAACTTTTCTCTCCACCTTCACGTGATCATTGAGATTTTTCGTAACGAGGATCCATCCTCGGATTAATTTCGGATTTAGAAACGAATTCTCGAATTCGAGAGGCGAAACGAGTTTCATTTAGAAGCGAACCTTCGAATTGAAGAAAAGAAAAGAAGAAAAAAAGAGAAAAACGATGCGTCTAGACGATGCGCCGCATACCAGAAATTTGCACATTCACATTCCCCGTTTTATGAGAACCATTACGGTACATAAGAACGAGACAATGAAACTATAAATATGCAGGACGGGCCCAGCCAATGACGAAGCTGTAGGATTACGATTTCCCTGTGACAACGCGCACGCACTCTATTCTCATACATCCGGTATCCGAACTCGGAACAATGTCAACGATCGATGCCAACGAACCACCGGCTTTCAATTCCACTTTCGTTTCTTTCACGCACCTTCTTCCCGCATCGATCTCTTTCTCGTCGTTCACGATTATTTAGGTTGCGAGACGACCAAGTAAATATTTGGAGAGAGAGAGAGAGAGAGGGGCGAAGATAAGAAAGGAGCACGCGTTGTTTCAACATAGGTAAAAACAGGTGTGTCGATAAGGAACAACCGTTTAAACGCAGCATTTTAGTTATCACCGGATGCGACCGATACGCCCTCGGAGAAAAGATACATTGCACTTGACATCTCGGAACGATGGTAATTTTAGCTGGTTACAAGACATTTATTACGAGGATACAGCCGGGACCGTTTATTCGTTCGAGGAAAGGAATGCGTGCATGACACTCACGAGGGATGACTTCCCGCCGTTACTGATTTGTCTACCGTCTATGCGAGAATCGGTCGGTAACTTTTAAAAAGAAATCGTCCCCTGCCCCGAATTCCGCTCTAATGGAAGTACAAGTATTAATCGATTGTAGAAAAAAGAAAAAAAAGAAAGTAAAACAAACATTCTTTAAAACATTTTTCTCGACGATACGACGCATTTTAAATGGAATTAACGTGCGTAATTCACGAAATTCTAACCTTCGCTTTCTCTTCATTCGATAAAAGAAATTCGATCGGCAAAGAGAGCAAAGAGGGAGCAGGACGGGTCATTGTCAAGGCGTCAAAATAATCCCTCTTTCTTTCGACAACGTTTCTGTTGTCGAGAATTGCTATTTCGATCGGCGCCACACGTTAGTGTCTAGACCGTACGAGTTATTCTCGGCTCACGCTTTGGTACCGTAATAAGCGCGACAAAGACATTCCTTTGCTGCCATCTGTTAGAGAATGCAGCCAACTACTCCGTTTGATTGACCGTGCTCCGCGAGACCATCGCACGGGAAACAACAGTATTTGTCCGGATTACGTCGCGCGAATAACTCGTTGGGAAACGAGCCAACATTTAATTCGAACCATCCTACGAACCCCTCTTTTCCGTGATTGCTCGCTACTGATAATCGTCGCCATTCCACCCGTTGAATACCAACTCACCGAAACGCGACCAACAATACGCTTTTGTCTCACCGTTTCCTGATCGTTTACCGATATGCTTCTCCGCGACAAGAAAAAAGAAAAAAAGTATCGAGTTACATCGAAAATTACACTGAAAATTTGCTCGAGTCGCTTCGACGGATAGTAAAAGAGAAAGAAAAAAAAAAAAAAAGGAAAACAGTTCGCTCACCCATCTCCCTGAAGTCTGTTATCGACCACTTGAGGAGGTAACGGAGCTGACAATTGCCTGAGCAAATCATCCCATTCCCTCTCCTTCTGTTGAACTTTTTCCTGCAACCTTTGCTTTTGCTTTTGATATTCTTTGAACAGATCACCGTTGTAACTCTGCTCCAGATGATCCCCGCCAGGGAAGCTCGGACAGGGATCGCGTTCGTTGGCTCCGTGATCTTTGCAGCGACTCCGGTCGGTTTCTCCGCCAAAGAATCTCTTCTCGAGCTTCTGGCGGTTGACGGAGCCGGTGATTCTCTGCCGGCAACTCTACGCTCCGGCGTGGACGCCGCAGAGGGATCGGCTTTGATAGCTGAAACGAAAAGAGGGAAAGACGAACCGTTGGAGGCAAACATCAACCCTTTCGCTACCATAGTCCCTCTGCGTATGTGATATCGTACGATATGACGAGCGATCGATATTTCGTCGAATCAACTCGTAGTAGAAGCAACTCGACGAATTGTGTTCCATCTTTCTCGAAAGGATTAAAAAACGATTGACTCACCCTCTGGACTCTTGGAGTGGCCTCTCGTTCTTGGCGGAGCTTTCGGCTGATTGTTGGTCGTGGTCTCCTGTATGGAAGGCAGTTGTTGGAACTCGGCGTAGCTCGAGCTAAGGAAAACGTCGCCCTCGTTCTCGAACAGTCTGTCCACGCTCGTGTTCATCAATTTGTTGTTCTTGAAACCGGTTAGATGAAAGCTGGCGAAGGAGGATCTCGACATCGGGTTTATATCGCCGGTGGACAGAGCCATTAGCGCCGCGGATGGTATCGTGGTATTTTTAGGGCCGGGACTCCTTGGTCCGAGGCCAGCTTCCAAAGCCGGGACTAAACTGCGAGACATCATGTCGGCGGCGGATCGTGGCCTTGTGAACGGCATCGCGCTGTGCGGGAAAGTCTTGGGTTTTATGGGGGTGATCAGCATGTGCTCGGTCCAGGAGGTCTCCAACGAGGGCCTCTCCAATCGTTCCACGTCCACGTTCAACGTGCGCTGCGCGAAAGGCACGGCGAACGTCTCCGGTGGTATACTTTGCAACCAAGAGAGCAGGCTCAAGTCGGAATCGCTGAAACCGACCGAGCCGTCCAACAGTCTGGAGAAATTCATCTCCACCTGTGGAAAAGTAAAAAAAAAGAAAAAAAAAAAGGTTGGCAAAGATCGACTCGACTGCGTTGTTTTAAAGTAAACATACACGATACCTGCTCGCTCTCCTTGGATCCGGTAGCTTTGGCCTGGCAGTAATTCACGCACGACTCGTACAAAATTCCCTTGATTATCAACTGTATAAGCCGATCGTTTTTCGCCGAGGTGACCGGATGAGCCGGATCGGTGCTCTTCCTGTCCCCGGGCAGAAACTTCTCCACCAACGGGTGCACCTCTCGAAAGCACTGCACTCTCGCATTGCTGGGGTTCCAATCCTTGTACTGGAGGTGGTCGGTGAGCCGCGGGAGCGTCAACAGAAGGCACAAGCTGCTGTACTCCTCTTTCGACGGCGCCACCTTCTCGAGATCGCTCAAAACCTTGACCACCTCCTCGACCGCGTTGTCCACGCTACCGTTCGTCCCGGCAGCGATGAAGTTCGCCTCGGACTTGATGCAGAGCAGCTCCACGTACTTGTGCCTGAGAATCGAGTAGGTGAACTTTCTCATATCGAAATCCGGGAGCGCCTCCAACGGCTGGATGAACTCCAGCACGTCGTCCCATTGCCCGTCGAGGATCAGCTGGCGAAGGAACAGGACATCGTCGCTGTACTGCCCGTTTATCACCCCGGTTTCTCGCTCCAACGAGAGCTGCGAGATGTGAAGGTCTCGGCTGTGGAGGAACTCCAAGGTTAATCGTACCACATCCTCCTCGCGCAGCGTCAGGTGCGCCGCTGGCATCACGTATCGAATACGCAACCTGGACAATTCACGGAATAACAGAGGAAAAAATTAGAGCTTGTCCGTGTGCGAATGAGAAATCGGGATTATACGTGAATATTGCTACGAACATGCGTGTTTAAAATTCCGCCAATATCGTATCATTTTTTGCTCATCACACATCATTGCTGTACACCATGTTTCATCCATTGTCGTTCGACTTTCATTTTTTTCCTTTTTTTTCTCTTTAAATTATGAAAAATTATATCTCGAACATATGTACTACACACATGTATATAGATGCGGTATAGAATGGTAAGAGCGTTAGTAGGTCGATGTCGAAACTGCTCGATTCGTAATTTAATACCGGTCGATAAATAATAAGTAACAATCGTAAGGTTCAACGCATCACGATCTGATTCACCGGAATTGCTGTTCGAACGATGCGTGGTATTGCAAAACTGAATAATGGGGCGCTCGCAAGGAATGTGCGAAATCCTTCCTTTTACAAGTTCGTTGCACTTCGAGGCCACCGGCCCTGCTGACATGCCCTGATTGCCTCGTACGAACTGGGTGGATAGATTCGGACGTTGATCACCTATCGCTGTTAAACCGTTCCTCCGTTTCCTCCGTGAATATTTCAATTATAAATCTCCCGAGTTTCCAATCGTTTCGAGAGTCGAGAATGAAATTCTCGAAAACGAAGAACAAACAAAATTGGAACAACGATTGGAATATAGATTTATGCGAACGATATGTTCTCGGCCCAAAATCGTGGAAAGAAGAAACTTGATATTTTTCCCCGAAAAATTCGCGGAAAAATCCGCTGCTTTATACTCCCGTTCGGAAAATCTGTTCCTCTCCAACGAACAGGGTGCGAACGTTGTTGGGGGATGGGGGGGTTGGAGGAAGATTATCGATCATACCCCGCTCCATGTGGCGTGAAAAGTTGTCTTCGGATATCACGATCAGAGAGCGCGAATCACGAATCCTTCCGCGTTTCGCAACAAATTCGCGTGGGTAAAAATATTTTCTTTTTTTTTGCCGGATGGACGAAGTTACGAGGGTTTCATAAACGAGTGACCCGTAAAAACGTTTCCACGAATTTGACGAATTCGTGCAAGTAAACGCAACGTTGACTTGGCAAAAGTGCGTGGCACGCGAATATACGTATCATGGCATCAGCAACTTGGTGCATTAATTTACGCGTTCCGTAGCCGAGCGCAGTGCAGTTTCGATCAAACCTTTAAACGATCAACACCGAGAAGAAGAATAATAATAATAACAATGGCACAATTGGCGACGGTAAAAATTTCGTCAACGATTCCTCTCAATTTATAATTTCATTTATATTTTAAACGCTTCGCAAACTCTCGTACCAGAAATTATAATTGTATTATTTTATTATTCCAGTTCGCGATGGCTGTTTTCTTAATCAGCCATGTTGCAGCCGACATCATAGTGCAGCCTGGATACGAGCAACAACACGTAGCCACGCAACCCCCGAACCTTCGGCATTCGGTTCAACAGGATAATCAACGAGATGAGCAACAAGATCGTCAACAACGAGAGGAATACGTTGATTCTGGTTATCATTTGGAGCTTCATCCGGTGTATGGAAATTCGTATCATATTCCCAGCTACGCGGTGCTGCCGATGTATCGACAGCCAGGAACGATACCATCGATGTCGAAGGCTGCTTACAAACGATTGCTCTCCTCGATGGGCGAAGGTGCCGAAGTACCTTCGATCGTCCCGCCTCAATACTACCAATACCTTCCTCAGGTGAGCACAAGTGATCACAATTTCCCTCTTTTCTCGAATCGACCGGATATTTTTCTCAGGCAGTACACAGTAGACGCAAAAGGTCCAACGGCGAGAAGCTCGATGGTGCAGGACAGGGGAGTGAACATGATGAAAATGATGTGGCCGCGAAGCCGTCCCTAAACGACGACGCGATGTCGGTGGTCGATTTGCAAAATCAAGACGGTAAGATACCGATTTTATAAGAAACGCGTTAGAAAAACGCGTTAGAAAAACGCGTTACACAGATACGATTGTTGCGTGAACAGAGAAGCGCGTGAAAGCTCGTCACAGCGTGACTCTGCTGGGATTGAAGCCGTCCAACATGCGCCCCGTGCACCAGCAGTACCGCACCTACGATCCCCAGCAAATGACGGCGAGTCAACAAACGTTGTCCCAAGTGAATCCTCAAGAAACGGCGCAGCAGCAACAACAAGCCATCCCCTCGCAAACCGCGAATCCTGATACCGAGAACGTTCAACGCTCGATATTTTTGCAAGATCACGTCTCCTCCCAGCAACCGCAACAATTTAGGCTCGAGCAGAGAAAGTTGCCCGATCTGAGGCCGCTCTCTGCCGTCGGTCAATCGTCCCCAATCGTGGCGAAATCGGACGCGGCCCGAACCTCCATGGTGAGAATATCTTACATTTACTTATCTCTTCTTCTTTACTTAGGAAAAAAATTTTATTCAACCCGTGAAGAGTACTCGCGAACTAGAGCTTTTCGTTTTCAGATACCGAAACACGCGGCGGGTAACAACGAGGAGATAGTGGGCACGAAATTGGGGGATATCTACAAGATAAAAGTGGTGCAGAACCTGCATCAACACGGGCGTGGAAGAACGACGGAGAGTGCGGCGAAGGAAGATGCGAACGTGAATTTCATTAATCCGGGAAACCATAAGGGAGTTAATGGTAATTTAGCAACGGTGGAAAGTGGTGTGGAGCAACCCGTGCAAACTGGCGCGGAGCAACTCGTGCAAGTTTATCAACTTCCGGACGAGGTCGGGACAAACTATTTACAAAATCCTCAATACATCGTTCTGCCTCAAACTTATCCCCTTAACTACGTGGCTAATTACGTGGACAATTACGCGTCGACCGTGTATCCGTACACGCCTCTCTATTCGCCGTACAAAATTTGTTTCGAAAGTCCCGATAACCTGCAGCCTATCGCGTATCAGTTAGTTTAAGTCAGCCGTGTCTCGATTTTGCAAATCGAATCATCGTTGATAGTTCAATCGATTGTATTTACTAATGCGGACAAAGAGTTCGTAAAATTTGTTTTTTCTTCTTTGACAATTGTCTCGTCGTTGAAACACACGTTACGAACTTTTCGTCGACGGTAGTATTCTATAAGATAGTATTTTATATTTTTCTACAAATATCGTATCTGTAATAAAAATAGATATTATTTAATAAAACCTCGTGTGTTTATTACTACATAAAATTCCATATAAATTGTTCTATCTTCTTTCAAGCAAGTAGACGCACAATCGTTTTTAATCAGGCAATTTTAATCAAATTTCAGCATGGCTCGATCGAAAACGAAAAAACTTTTCATCGAGAATTTATTTTTCGCAATCGTTTGTGGCGGTCGAGTTTTTTTTACGAATTTTCACAAACACCTCCGACTTTTCATTTTCACCTCTGTCTCTCGGTAAAGATTTCCCTCCGCATCAAGTCGACCTCCTTAATTAGTATATTAACGCCAAAGGCGACAAAGTTTCGCGGAGAAAGCGAGCTGCGGCCAAACGACTGAACGAAAATTCAATTTCGGACAATTTGCCGGGAGCGTTAATTGACCCGAGCGGAGAGAGTGCGCGAGGAGAATCGCAACCGGAAAAGGAGGGCAAACACTGTCGATCGAGCAATTTCTGATCCCTCTTTTTCGTATCGTCCGTCCCCTTCCAAATCGAATGCAATTTCTTCGAAATTTCGAAAGCGAAATTTGAAGGGGGAGCGGGCCTCGTTATCCGTTCCTCGAAAGCGCAAACAACGAGGATAAGGAAATTAGGCCCAAGTTGGATACATTTTTGGATAGCATTTCGAAATTTAATTGGATCCAACAAAGAAAATTGGAGAAATTTGTTAATCCGAGAATAACATCCCAGAGATGGCACACGTGCGATTACGCGATCCGTATATGGGGTGAGAGAGACGAGAACGGGGGGATAAAGTCTGCATTCACGGAACGCGCGTTGCGTTTAAGGGAGGGGAGAAATTTTCGGTGAGAGAACATTCCATCCTGGAGATTAATTCTCGCGGAGAGGGATACGCGTCTACTCACTTTTTTCCTAACCGGCCGAATTTAATTTCCTTTCAAACTGTGCAAGATTGGATATAAAATGGAGGGATACGGAGAGCGATGTATTCGCCTCGTCCGAGAGATGAACGGCCGATTTGAAGGGAATCGAAATGTTTTACGTTTGTCCATGCGATTCAGAGTGATTTAATAGTCGATTCGATGTTTCACAGAGGAGACGGATTTTCGTGGATCATCATCGTATCGATGTTCACGATAATTTTCGATTTCGAGCTTCGAAAGAATCTTCGAAGTGGTTCAATGAGAACGTCGATAGAAGAAGATCGAAAATATTTTGGACAAGTAGCCTTATATAACTTCGAATAAATCTTATATTTATTAAGTAGCACAGTGTGAGTAAAAGTAATAGTTGAGTGAATTGTTTCAACTGTTAATTATTCTTTCCGTTTGAATCGTAGTTTTCTTTTTAATTTCCTTTTTAAATCGGGTATAATAAGCCGTTTTATCGTTCGTTACAAAGCGTAATAAAAAGATAATAAGAGAGGATAAAAGGTGTTAATGATGGCTCGGAAGGAAGATATTAGTTAGAGATAAGCGATAAAATTACTTAATTAATAAGATCGAATAATAATCGACTCTTATATTTACTTTTTACGAGAGTCGTAAACTCGTGTCGGCAATGTGGTAGCGATAAAGAAAAAAAAAAAAAAAAAAAAAAGAAAAGAACGTTTAAAATACGTTGTAAAACGAACCGTAAAAGATAATGTTATAAGCCAGTAGCGAGTAATTATCGACACTTCTTGCTGTATAATCGAAACTAAATTTCATAGCAAACGAAACGGAACGAAACCAACGTTTTCCGTTTTGTGTCCGCCACCGCGACGCGTTTACTCGACTTTCATTGCCCGCCAAACAATTGCCCGCGTTTTAATTTCACCGCCGATCCTTGTATTTCGATCTGAAACGGCACGTTTGCCAATTCTGCCCTCCACGATTCGATAGCGTTTCGTTTGCTTTTCAAACGATGCGGTTTTTTTCAGAAGCCAGAAAAAACTGAAACGTCGATGTTCCTTCTTTTTTTCTTTTTGCGGTAATTGTTACTTTTTTCGATGGTTTACACAAAAGCTTGAATTTTTATTTACCGAGTTTGTTCACAGACCGAACTTTCTATTCTACATCGTGTATAAACGTCGAATAGAAGTTTTTTTTGAAATTGGAATTACGACGTCTCTTTTTTTCTCTTTCTTTCTTTTTAATTGCACAACGAGAGAAAATATAATTGAAGAGAATCGTCGGAAAAGAAAAAAAAAAAAAAAAAATGCGTAGTCAAACGAACAAAACGGTGAATGTATCGAAATATAACGTTGTGGACTGGACTGAATGGTCAGACGCCATTATCAATAATGGGTAAATGGAACGAAAGTTTCACCGATGAAAGTTTTTTTTTTTTTTATAGCTTCGACTTTTTCAACGCGCGTAACGTTTCGCCATACAAATTAAACAGTTATTCGCACGAAGCGTTGCTCGACTACTTATTAAAAAAAAAAAAAAATGGCTAATTGATACGAAATCGAAGCGGGGGAAGCGGCTTTTATCGAGCGGAAATTGCGAATCATCCGCAAATTGTTCCACCACATTTACCATCCTACAACGGCCGATACAGGCTCACCGTTATTCTCGTAACAAGTGGCTCCGAACGACTATAATTAGATGCTAGTTAAGGAGGGGGTAGATATTTGCCAAACAAACTATCGATCGATATTTTGTTATCACTTGCGAGTTATTGCGTATGAAAGAATAATGAGAACGATAAATTTCTATCCTGTTCAATTATTATTGTTATTATTATTGTTATTATTATTATTATTACGCACGAAACGATGCATCATTTCCAACCATTTTTCTTCGAACGATTGCTTTGAAAAAAAAAAAAAATGTCACGAGTTCGTTCCCTTTGCGAATCCAATTTTTCCAATGTTTTTCATGAAAGTGTAACAACGCAAGAAAGAAGATTCGAACGATGTTCAACTTAACTTGTGTTTTCGAAGTTAAAAACGCAAGTTGGAAAAAAAAAAAAGAAAAAGAAGAGCTCGATTCTCGACGAAACATCGCGTTGGTCCAACCTCCTCGCGAGGAGCAAAGGAGCACAAAGAGCGAAGTTGGAAAAATCTCCAATTGGTCGGCTGCTTTCAAAAGCAGTTTCTCCATCTTTTCGACGCTGGCTGCTGGCTTTTAATGCCAGTCCGCCAGATCCTTTACCATCGCTGTTTCTCTTTCGCTTCTCGCCGTGTTCGCAATTCTTTCAGACGTCCACCAGTGCGCGACAGTGCGCGCGATTCAAATGGCCGGTCAATTTATTCGATGGTCCCCCCATACGGAATCAATATCCCCATTTATTCTCTATTAATAACAAGTCGGAATGAGAGAGACGTTTGCTTTTTCCTCTACTTATACGACGATCGCGAGAAGTTGTCCTCGTTCAAGCGAACGAAAATAGACGTTACGAGTTTCACCTTGTAACGTAATCCGAACGTAAACGCGTATTCGATAATCGTAGTAAGAGCATTTTGTCGTCGTTTCATCGGTTTCATCCGTACAACGCTTTTCACGCAACTCGAAACTTTAACCGTAACGGAAGAATCGGCTCACGCATGAATCTGCAAATACCTTTGCGAATATATACTCGCCGGAGAGAGAGAGAGAGAGATTATCGTTAAATTCGATGGTTGACTCGGTTCTTTTTTAAATTTCCACGATACTTTGATCCGTATCGTCGTAATAAAACATTTCTTACACGTCCCCCAAAAATGTTCGTCATTGTTGGTCGATAACAAAGTTGAGGAGATATCGCCTGCACGTATATATATATATATATGCATATGTATGCGCGTAGCCGAGGCTTATCTGCAGCCACGATTTACACCCGGAAGTCTGGAAGAGTCCAAGCTTTCCCGTATCCAACACCGAAACCAGATACTCGTAAAACTCCTCGTTGAAATAATTAGCCTTCTCCTCGCTCACGTGTCACGGAATACGTTAGGCGGTTTGCCTCGAGTCACGGAATATTTTGCAACGATGCGGGCCATCGTCCTCCACGGGTGGCGATTCGCTACGTTTACTCGATCGCGATTCATAAAAGGGTATCCCGTCCGCTCTCGTCGCCGTTCAAAACCGCGGCGGTGGTTTTTCTTGCGAGCGATGCTCCTCGCCACGAGTAAAGGAGCCATTACCCGGCCTGTAATGGAGGTATTCAACCGGCTCACCTTTGACCCGAAAGCTCGTGGTACCGGTACGCGTTTACTCAACGAGATAGCCACCGGTCGTCGCCACTTTTTCCTTCTTTTTCAAGCGACACGAATTCCTTCCTCCGCATGCACGCGTCGCCTCCGCGAAACTCTCGTTTCAGCCAACCATTCAGCAACCGTGTCCAGTGCGCGTCCAACTTCGATATCTTTGGTTTTAGTAGTTAAAAGTAATTACAAAAAAGCTTGGATAGGATAATGCTCGAAACGAATGAAGAAACGGCACGGTTTTAAACGTATTAAATTTTTAATAGGATGTTTATCACGGGGATGAACCGTGTTGTTCGCGAGGCGCTTCGTTTTCTTGGAAACCGCGACTCGTTCGCGATAACGGTTGCTTGAATAAACGCGTGGCAACTAGAAATTGTACGCGATGCGTACAACTTGTGGTATGATTAATTCCTTATTCTATCAATTTCCCGCGTCTGTCGGGGAATTTAATTTTCTTCTTTTCTTCAACGGGAGAAAATTGGAAAATTTTTGAAGAAAATCGACCCGCGTCGAGCTTCGAGATTCTCTTAGAACGGTCTTAGAGCTGGATGAAAAATAGGTTAATCACTTTGGAGAGAGACTGAGAACGAGCCAAATCGATATGTTTTCTGGAAAGTCGTGATTCGATGATGATATTTTCGATGATATCCTCGAACGAGTTCTAATTTGGCAAGTATTCAAAGTGGAATGATCGTGAACGAAGAGATTTAGAGTTTTCGAGAATACAATTCTTCGAAAGTCGTGAATGAAAATCGTGGCGATATTGTGGTTAGGTTGGTAGAATCGTCGAAGCTGTGATCAAGCGATTCGAAGGAGGCTAACAGTTGCAGAGGAGGCAGG